GGCTACCAGTAGCAACAAAATATGCTGTTTTGGCAAGATCCCCAGTAAGCCACGCCAAAACCATAGGTACACTTAAATAACAGTTTGTAATTTATCAGATCAAAACATCTAATCATCCAACCTCATTCCTTGCGTAGACTTTCGTTGCCAATTCCGAATCAATTGTGGAGCACCTAAACTTGCTTCAACAAGCAATGATACCATACCGATAGCCTCCACATACCATTGAAACTGAAAGAAAATAATGCTGCATGGAAAATAGATATTTCTGAGAAGGTAAAAGGTCATTTATCGCTTACACGGGTCATAAGTGCAGTAACAATGGACCAGAATGTAGTAAATATTGTCAGCGCAAGCAAAAAGCTTGTTAAATCGTGCCATGCCCAAAATGAGTTGAGGAAGTCGCCTTCTGAAAATAAGAATATCCGCTAAGCTGAGAGTATGGCAATATTAAAAAATTTCTCTGCAATTTTCCGTTCCTAGATGATCTGCTGGTAGATTACAAAAGGAACAAGTACGTTGAGAAAAGGAATAAATCAGAATTCCTTTCTTTGACACAAACAAGCACGAAAATGAACTTATACAATTTCATTAAAGCACTTCTTTGCACTTAACGACTTTCTCTTCGCACTCCTTCTTATCAAGCATTTTATTTGCATTGCAACTCGTATGTATCGATCCTCAGTTATTGAATTTTGGTGCAAAGGACAGATTTAGATGGTGATGTCGGTCAATTCACAACGTCTTGCATTTCATCACATTTCTACACACGCATGTCTGACGTCCTATATAGTTTTTCCGAAGTTTATCCTTAGAAAAAAGTCCTTCAAAAATAACGAGAAATGACTTAACTTTATTTAGAACCGACATGCCTTCCACCGCTTCAATAATCACATAACATTTCTGGCAATTGCTCTCGCCAAATTTTTTGTCATTTGCGAAATTCAAAAATCAAATTTGTCACAAGTTCGCTTCCGTCTTATTTCATATTTTTGCAAGTCTGAAATTTGCCAATGCCTCAGAAGGTCCAGAAACTTCCTCTTTTCTGCATTTCCGGTGTAACTTCTTAGCTAAAATTTGAACTAGCTATGGCTTTAGCAATTTGCCTTTAATTTGCACAGATTTGCACCGAGCCGTAAACCGAGGTCCACAGCTCCTGATCGATATATTGATTTTTTTGAGCCACATCGGATACATTCGTTATGATGTTGTTTCTGAAGATATTGGTTCTAGTGTTATTTGCCATTTTTGTTCAATTTGATGTTACACTTGAAGTTCGCGAAAAAAGGGGAAAAGGAAGCATTCTTGTATTAGTACACTTACAATTTCGCCTCCCAACTT